AATAATTTTAAATCATAATTTTACTGTTTGATGGTTTCATGTCAGAAAGCACAAATCATGAAATAGTTATAGTATAACCATAATAGTAAATAGTTATGGTAGTTAAGGAAACCAACTGCTGTAAAACACGCTAAAGAACATTTCGGTACAAAATAGTTTACCTGGATTTCCTAAAATAATGTTGGCTGATTTTTCACAATCTGTAAAGTAATACCAATTATAACTTAAAATTTGCTCTATAAACTTAATAGTATAAAGCATTAGTTGAGCGGAGCGAAGCGAAGCTCTTTGGGACCGGCTTCAACGCAAACTTTCTAACACTATCACTCAATAACGGCTGAGCATATTTTAGTCAAACTTACCAAGGTTGTTTCAGCAAATGTTTGCGAGGTTTTTAATTAAACAATTTCAATTGTCTATATAATTTAAAAGTAAAGTTTTTAGATTTTAACATTGACCTTATGGGTTGCCATGATGGTTACAACATAACGACGTAAATGTAAACAAATAATCATAGCATAGGTTTAAAACTAGCCAATATACGGCCTAAACAAAGTACTAAGGAAAAAAATTGTATGATGAATTGGAAGATCACTTAAACTTTTTAAATACTTCCTGGAAGGGTCCAGGGGAAAACCGGGCTAAGTCAGTTTTTCAAAACTTTTCAGGAGAGCCATTTAAAACTTTTAAAACCTAAAATACCAAAAAATAGTTTATTTTTTATTTTTTAAAGAATTCCAGTATTATTGGAAAGTTAAATAATATAGAATTCATATTTAAAAAATGTCATATATACAATATTTCTTAAACTATGAATTATTTAATGGGTAATCTACCAATGTAACTGGGGGAAAACGGGCCTTGTTCATAGTTTTAGCCCGTTTTTCCCCTGAAAGCTTACAGTACTTGCAATCCTGATTACTTGTCACTTTTTTAAGAGGGAAATTTCTTTTAACAACACAGTCTTATTATTATTGTAAACTGTTTATTATTACATAAAAGGTGAAAACGACATTTGCAGTCCTCGCCTGGCTCATGACTTTGAACTCTAATCCTCTTGCTAAGACATCTCGTTCCCTGCCAAACGTTTTGCCTTTCTTCGTTTTCTTATTGATAAGTTCTTGTTCACTATCACTATCCAGTCCACTCATTGTACTCATCCACTTAAAACCATCAAACACACCACTTTACTGCCTCAAAAACACCTGTTGCAGTAACATAACCAAACTCTGCCGGCTGTCAGTTGTCGTTGACAGTAGTCAAATTAGTATTAAATTTAAGTTAAGTAGTTATGTTTAATATTATTATTTCAAAGGTAAAATATATTTTTGCCTTTACACTAATTAAAACACTGTTTAAGAAGCAATCTAAAGGCTATTGCGTATGTAAATAACATTAAATAATACATATGAAGTCTGTTACAGCCGCTGACTTGACCCGTTTCTCCCCGGTACACGTTCACGTAAACGTAGACTTAGCCCGTTCTTCCCCAGGTGCCTCATATTTGAAGCATTTATTTCACCATGACTAGACCCGTATTTCCCAACTATGAGCATACCATCGTGTAGAGCTTGAAAAACACTACAAAATGGCGTTTTAAACAAAAAATTACAAAAAAATTGACTTAACCCATTTTTCCCCTGGACCCTTCTAATCAAATAATACAGATAAAGTATTACACGCCATTTGGAAACTACCAATAAACGAATAACTACAGCATTTTATGTAATCTAAATTAGGTCATAACAAATAATATTTATCACGTGTAATTGGGAATTAAAGAAACTACACGAATACTACAACTTTGGGTTCACCAGATGACATAAGCAAGCAAACAAAGAAAAAAATACCGATGTATGTAATGTCCACATCTTTACTTATAAAACTTGTCTATTTTACATTAAATAGTTACAAACCTTTAAAGCAATCTTTAAAAGTCCGCAATAATTGTAAATCCCGGCTCCTCTTTCATCTGTGCGCTACAGCAAGGAGCAGAGACTCGATATCATGTTGTAAACATGCAGCCCACGTCCCTGCTACCAGAGTGATGGTAGATACTTGATACTGGCGAGTTACACCCCTGTGATACGCATAAACAAGCCCACCTACCCTCACTCACACTCACTCACTCAATGCCCACTCAGTGACCACGTCCCTGCTACCAGAGTGATGGTAGATACTTGATGCTGGCGAGTTACACCCCTGTGATACGCATAAACAAGCTCACCTACCCTCACTCACACTCACTCACTCAATGCCCACTCATTGACCACGTCCCTGCTACCAGAGTGATGGTAGATACTTGATACTGGCGAGTTACACCCCTGTGATACGCATAAACAAGCTCACCTACCCTCACTCACACTCACTCACTCAATGCCCACTCAGTGACCACGTCCCTGCTACCAGAGTGATGGTAGATACTTGATACTGGCAAGTTACACCCCTGTGATACGCATAAACAAGCCCACCTACCCTCACTCACACTCACTCACTCAATGCCCACTCAGTGACCACGTCCCTATCAGAGTGATGGTAGATACTTGATACTGGCGAGTTACACCCCTGTGATACGCATAAACAAGCTCACCTACCCTCACTCACACTCACTCACTCAATGCCCACTCATTGACCACGTCCCTGCTACCAGAGTGATGGTAGATACTTGATACTGGCGAGTTACACCCCTGTGATACGCATAAACAAGCTCACCTACCCTCACTCACACTCACTCACTCAATGCCCACTCAGTGACCACGTCCCTGCTACCAGAGTGATGGTAGATACTTGATACTGGCGAGTTACACCCCTGTGATACGCATAAACAAGCCCACCTACCCTCACTCACACTCACTCACTCAATGCCCACTCATTGACCACGTCCCTGCTACCAGAGTGATGGTAGATACTTGATACTGGCGAGTTACACCCCTGTGATACGCATAAACAAGCTCACCTACCCTCACTCACACTCACTCAATGCCCACTCATTGACCACGTCCCTGCTACCAAAGTGATGGTAGACACTTGATACTGGCGAGTTACACATCTGTGATACGCATAAACAAGCCCACCTACCCTCACTCACACTCACTCACTCAATGCCCACTCATTGACCACGTCCCTGCTACCAGAGTGATGGTAGACACTTGATACTGGCGAGTTACACCCCTGTGATACGCATAAACAAGCCTACCTACCCTCACTCACACTCACTCACTCAATGCCCACTCAGTGACCACGTCCCTGCTACCAGAGTGATGGTAGACACTTGATACTGGCGAGTTACACCCCTGTGATACGCATAAACAAGCCCACCTACCCTCACTCACACTCACTCACTCAAAGCCCACTCATTGACCACGTCCCTGCTACCAGAGTGATGGTAGACACTTGATACTGGCGAGTTACACCCCTGTGATACGCATAAACAAGCCCACCTACCCTCACTCAAACTCACTCACTCAATGCCCACTCATTGACCACGTCCCTGCTACCAGAGTGATGGTAGACACTTGATACTGGCGAGTTACACCCCTGTGATACGCTTAAACAAGCCTCCCTACCCTCACTCACACTCACTCACTCAATGCCCACTCATTGACCACGTCCCTGCTACCAGAGTGATGGTAGACACTTGATACTGGCGAGTTACACCCTTGTGATACGCATAAACAAGCCCACCTACCCTCACTCACACTCACTCACTCAATGCCCACTCATTGACCACGTCCCTTCTACCAGAGTGATGGTAGACACTTGATACTGGCGAGTTACACCCCTGTGATACGCATAAACAAGCCCACCTACCCTCACTCACACTCACTCACTCAATGCCCACTCATTGACCACGTCCCTGCTACCAGAGTGATGGTAGACACTTGATACTGGCGAGTTACACCCCTGTGATACGCATAAACAAGCTCACCTACCCTCACTCACACTCACTCAATGCCCACTCATTGACCACGTCCCTGCTACCAGAGTGATGGTAGACACTTGATACTGGCGAGTTACACCCCTGTGATACGCATAAACAAGCCCACCTACCCTCACTCACACTCACTCACTCAATGCCCACTCAGTGACCACGTCCCTGCTACCAGAGTGATGGTAGACACTTGATACTGGCGAGTTACACCCCTGTGATACGCTTAAACAAGCTCACCTACCCTCACTCACACTCACTCAATGCCCACTCAGTGACCACGTCCCTGCTACCAGAGTGATGGTAGACACTTGATACTGGCGAGTTACACCCCTGTGATACGCATAAACAAGCTCACCTACCCTCACTCACACTCACTCAATGCCCACTCATTGACCACGTCCCTGCTACCAGAGTGATGGTAGACACTTGATACTGGCAAGTTACACCCCTGTGATACGCTTAAACAAGCTCACCTACCCTCACTCACACTCACTCAATGCCCACTCATTGACCACGTCCCTGCTACCAGAGTGATGGTAGACACTTGATACTGGCGAGTTACACCCCTGTGATACGCATAAACAAGCTCACCTACCCTCACTCACACTCACTCAATGCCCACTCATTGACCACGTCCCTGCTACCAGAGTGATGGTAGACACTTGATACTGGCGAGTTACACCCTTGTGATACGCTTAAACAAGGTCACCTACCCTCACTCACACTCACTCAATGCCCACTCATTGACCACGTCCCTGCTACCAGAGTGATGGTAGACACTTGATACTGGCGAGTTACACCCCTGTGATACGCTTAAACAAGCTCACCTACCCTCACTCACACTCACTCAATGCCCACTCATTGACCACGTCCCTGCTACCAGAGTGATGGTAGACACTTGATACTGGCGAGTTACACCCCTGTGATACGCATACACAAGCTCACCTACCCTCACTCACACTCACTCAATGCCCACTCATTGACCACGTCCCTGCTACCAGAGTGATGGTAGACACTTGATACTGGCGAGTTACACCCTTGTGATACGCTTAAACAAGGTCACCTACCCTCACTCACACTCACTCAATGCCCACTCAGTGACCACGTCCCTGCTACCAGAGTGATGGTAGACACTTGATACTGGCGAGTTACACCCCTGTGATACGCATAAACAAGCTCACCTACCCTCACTCACACTCACTCACTCAATGCCCACTCAGTGACCACGTCCCTGCTACCAGAGTGATGGTAGACACTTGATACTGGCGAGTTACACCCCTGTGATACGCATAAACAAGCTCACCTACCCTCACTCACACTCACTCACTCAATGCCCACTCAGTGACCACGTCCCTGCTACCAGAGTGATGGTAGACACTTGATACTGGCGAGTTACACCCCTGTGATACGCATAAACAAGCTCACCTACCCTCACTCACACTCACTCAATGCCCACTCATTGACCACGTCCCTGCTACCAGAGTGATGGTAGACACTTGATACTGGCGAGTTACACCCCTGTGATACGCATAAACAAGCTCACCTACCCTCACTCACACTCACTCACTCAATGCCCACTCATTGACCACGTCCCTGCTACCAGAGTGATGGTAGACACTTGATACTGGCGAGTTACACCCCTGTGATACGCATAAACAAGCCCACCTACCCTCACTCACACTCACTCACTCAATGCCCACTCAGTGACCACGTCCCTGCTACCAGAGTGATGGTAGACACTTGAGTGTGGTTAAGTAGTAGATGTCAAAGTTGTTATTGAAACAGCTTTAGTTATGATTGCTGTAATGTTTTTTCTTGTGCAAATCATACCATCCTGAGCCATGAATTTGCGACCAAATCCAAAACTTTAAGAGGAAAAGGAACACTACTTTCAATTCCTAAATTCCTAAAACCTTAAATTAAACCCTTAACTTTTAACTATAAAGCAATGCAGGTTTAATACTCTTCAAGGGACAAAAATTATAATTCATAGTAAGAAAATAGTTAGAAATTGTAAAAACATATACATTGCTTCATTAATTTATCACCCATTTGGTTTCATGTGTATTGTGAATTCAGTAGAAATATACATCTATTATAAACCTCTATCTATCTAAACTTTATAACCTCTATTACCGTATACTTGTTTAGAAACAACCATACACGGGTGCAAGAGAGCAAAGATATCAGAGCAATAATCTGTGTCACGAACAAATATCCTACAATTTCCCCTGGGCCTACGAACAACAAGTTTGAATTGGCTTATTTCCTTTATTTTCTATTTCAGACCCCGAGCCAATTGTTCTCTGGATAAACCTGGTCTGTTGCACTAAACACGAAACTTTGTATGCCAAGTAAAATACGCCATCTTTATTTTTTAGAGAGCTTAAACTTTTTAAATTATTAATAATATCATGAAACCTGAAATTATTGAAACAAGATGGCTCAATAATAATATATATTCAAGCGTTTAAAGAATTTTCTCAGATGATTGAATATTTTGTTAACAATGGGACATTGCGACTCCTCAATAATTAACTAATGAAATAATAATAGTTATAATAACGATAAAACTAACAGGATCAATTATAAAGATAGGTACAAATTTTACTGTGGTGCTAATTAATTTATTGTAGTTATAGTAATGTTATAAAATACTTCAACAAGTCCATTGTTTCACTCATCTAATGTCCTTACTCTAAATCAAAAGAAGAAGTTTTATCAAACTGTTGTTTCTTGATACCCTAAATGTATACTAACAAGAAAAGTTTATAAAGAAACTTGTGTCATAAGTGACATCTGTTTGAGCCGTGACTATTTCCACCGGGCGAATGTCACGACTCATGATCAATGGTTCAAGTGTTTTTTTTTTTATAGTAGGCTAGTTCAGTGTTTCGTTGTCATTCCACGGCCCCCCGAACAAGGCTGTGGGTTTTGTTCTTATTACTCCGACCGCGAAGTGTCAGAGGTTGCGAGACGTCGGATTTGAGTACTTCACTGAAGATTTTTATCCTTTTAAATCTTCCTTTTTTGGATAATAAATGTGCCTTTTAAGTTTTATTCTTGGCCGTTTGTGAGAACTTTCTTTATGGAGTAACTTTAGTACGCCCCGCGCGCCTTTTGGGGCCCGTGAGGAGGAAAATGACTGACCATCTTCAGCGGAGAGGAATGTTGCGACTAGGCTGGCGCTGCATATTGGCCCCCTCTCCGCCCTGCCTTTTCTCTCCTCCGGTGCTGTCCGCCCAGCTTCATGGCCCTCCGGTGTCACACCCTTGAAGACTGTTACCGCAAGTTACCGACTAATTGTTATTTATCTAATTGTTATATATATTGCTGTTGCCGAATGGACTTTAAGATTTTTAACATTTGTTGACTATTTATAAGCACAGCAGCCTATTGTTATTTATTTCAAATTTTATTCTACTGTTGCCTAATCATCCGATTTTAAAATCTCTCCACTGTATTTAATTTTTGGGGCCCCTAGTTAATTGTTAACTTTTCAGATATTTATTAAAAGAGTCATCATATTTTATTATTGTTATAGTTTGTTAATTTTGGTAATTTCCTTTTATTAAATGTTAAATTTTTACTAAATCCTTCTGATTTTCTGAATGATTAAAATAAATTATTGTAAGTCAGCAGCTTAAACGGGTACCTAAATTTATTTAAGGTTTATTGAGAGTATTTAATTCATGTATTGTTGTTGTGTTTTCTTTTAAATGGTTAATTACAGCTCGTTTCTCTCAAATGGCGTGTTGTTCTTGAACCTCCATCCATGGTTCTCATTTTGTTAAGTAAAGTTTTGTGAGCCGCTCCTCGGGCCTGCGCATGGATCACGCTTCCATTTCGTTAGTCTGGGTGCAGGCACGAGGGCATGGTTCATCTGGTAGCAGAGCGTGGTTGGTGGGTTGCGTCCTGGGTGCCTTGCCGTGAAACTTGGTTTCACGACTCGGATACTTAGAGATGCGATCACTGTCCACGTTCTGTTTTTTTTGGTTTGTTTTGAAGAGCCGTGGATGGATTGGTTTCTTGGGAATGTTCTGGCCTGGCAGTTTTGGAAAAAGGTCTTGTTGTTGTTGTGGTGGGGCGTAAACACATTTTATTAGGAGCTCGCCCTTTGGCCGAGGCACCGGGTGGAATCGGTGGTAATGACTTGCATCCTTCGGGAGCAAGAGTGTCAAAAGCATGGTCATGTGTCAAAAAAAAAAAAAAAAAAAAAAAAGGTTTGTGTGTACACCCCATCACACAAGTGTTAGGTGTTGTCTAGTGTATGTATCGGTGTATGTTTGTGTGTGTGTACGTTCGTGGGTCATTTGTTGTTGTTTTTTCTTGCGGTACTTGCGGTATGAATGGGCAGGTTCTTCTTTTGGGCCCCATCAGGTGCGTAGGCATCAACGTCCAGAAGCCTTAGGAATTAAATTTCTGTGTTTGTTTTGTGAAAAAATTTTTGTTGTCTGTTTTGAGTCAAGTACTGGTTGAGACTCGGTATGGCGTCAATTGTGCCGGAATATTTGAGGAAGCCGGAGCTGGTGTACGAGGTGCGGTCCCGGGGGGAGACTCCTGGAACTGATGTACGCACTTTGCGTACACAGTTCAGACAAATTGTTAGCATGCCTCAAGCTTGGGTTGAGTCGCTCAGTTTGGATGAGGAACTGGAGGCATGTAAAGAGAGGATGGAAGAGCTAAGTGGGGAAATTGATAGTTGGAGTAGTTTGCCTATGGGCTCAGCTAAGGGTTCGGCTATCACACAGCTGACGCATTGGCGTAAGCGTCTGCTCTTGGTTTCAGGGCAACCTGAAATCCAGGATGAAGACAAGAGCTGGGTGGAAGCCAGAATTCTTGAGCTGGAAGGTATTTTGGAGAGTATTAAGGCAGGAAAGTCTGTCAAGGAGAAAGTTGAAATTTTTAAAGACAACCGTTCTTCGGAAACTTCAAACGAAGTGCCAAAGTCTGTTGTTGAAGTTGTGGCTCCAGTGGGTACCCCCCAGGCTCCGCCTACGCCAAGTACACTGCTCCAGTTGCCTGCAAATGTTCAAATGTCAAATGCCAATGTCACACCGTCCCCCTCTCACACGTCCACCTTGGCTGCGGCTACGCTGAATGTCCAGTCCCCATCTCCCTTTCCTTCTCAAGATCATAGTTCCCCTTCCATCTCTAACTCCTTTGGCAAACTTCCCCATCCCCTTGCCTCTGTCCTGAGTGGTTTCCGGCCGGTGGACGGGTTAGATGTGAATGGTCTTTGTTTTTTTCTGGAGAGTGTTTTGCGCATGCGTGAATACCCTGGCATGTCAGACGCAACTTTGATGGAACTCATTGCTCCATACTGTCTGAAACCGTTGGGGGACAGATTGCTTGATTGTTTGCGCAGAGGCGTCACCTTTGATGTTTTCCATAAAGAAGTTTTGGAGCTTTTCATGCCCCGTCGGGTCATGGAGAAGCTGAAAGTTGAGAGAGTTTTTCGTCCTCAGCAGCCAGCCGAGTCTCTCAGCCAGTACGTGGGGGACATTCGCACAGTGGAAAGGGTCTTGCGTTTGGGGATCAGTGAGCTTGAGCTCATTGACATTGTGCTTCAGGGGTTGAAGCCTGAGGAACGCTCCCGTCTGGTTTTTGCACCACGGCCTTCTTCTTTTGCGGATCTGGACAGACTTTCCATCCTTTCGAGATCTGTCCAGGACGCTGATTTTCAGAGAGACCAAGCGGCGGGGCATCTTCCCCTAGCTGGTCATCATGCTGTCGTAGCACCCGTGGGAGTGTTGGGTCCTGAACCGCCGCAGTGGCAGAGGCAACCTGTTGTTTGTTTTGGTTGTGGGCAACCAGGTCACATTCGGCGGCATTGCCGTCAAGGTGGAAATTTTGGACGTGGTCCAAAAAACTAGTTTGCTCACAGGAGGAAAAATTGCCCAATCCTTCCTGTGAGGTTGTTGGTGATAATGTAAAGGGCAATAATTTGAAAGTTTTTTCAAGTAAGTCAAATTCTAAGTTAAAGTCAGTTAATGTTTCTGTTGCCTCCCCTTCTGGGAGTGTTGTGCCTGTGACCGAGCCTCTGCTGCGGGGGATTGCGGGCCTTGCTTCCATGGGCGTGAAAGCGGCGCGCTCAACTTGCCCACGTCTCAACATCTTCATAGGTTCCACGGTGCAGAAGGCCCTAGTGGATTCTGGGTCAGCCCGTTGCCTCATTTCCTTGTCCCTTTTTGAAAAACTTGAATCGTCTGGGCTTATCAAGCAAGTTGAGCGAAAAACCCCTATCTGCTGGACTGCGTCAAATTCACCCCTTCCCATCATCTATGAAGCCCGTTTCAAGTTCAAAATTGAACATTTTTCTTGGGTTTGGAGTTTTTGGGTGGCTAAGGACCTTTGTTTCCCTGTCATTTTGGGAGCGGATTTTATCAAGCACACTGGCCTAATTTTGGATTTAGGCAGAGGTCAGTGTTTTTTCCGATTTGCGAGACGGGTATTAATATCTTTTGCTGATGAAATTGGTGGTGGTGCTGCGGTAGTCGAGCCTGAGATACCCAGCAAGCCAACAATTGATCCGTTAGGGCATCTGACTACTTGCGAGGCTGAAGCCATCAGAACCTTGTGTTCTCGTTTCCCAGATGTGCTGACGCCAAAGCTTGGAGTCACTAACCTGTTAGAGTACGAGATTCGTCTAACAGATACCCGTCCGGTTCGCTCTCACCCATACAAATTAGCTCCACCCAAAATGGAAACTCTCAGAAAAATCATTGACGAACTTCTGGAAAATGGTGTCATTGAACCTTCCCGTTCGAGCTACGCTAGTCCAGCTTTTCTCGTCCCGAAACCCAATGGCAAGTCCCGAATGGTTTTGGACTATCGCAAATTGAATGCGCAAATTGAAATCGACTCTGTGCCTCTCCCCGATTTGCATTCTGCGTTTGATTGGTTCGGTAAGGCCAAGTATTTTTCTGTTTTTGATCTGAATCAGGCCTATCATCAGATTCCTTTGAAACCTGAGTCTCGACCTCTCACTGCTTTCTGCGTTCCGTGGAATTTGTATCAGTTCACAAGAGTTCCGATGGGTCTTGCTGTGGGGGCCCAGACTCTCACCAGACTCCTTGATTCCATCTTTCATGATGTCAAGTTCAAGTTTGTGTTCAATTACCTCGACGATCTCTTGGTGTACAGTGAGAGCTTCGAAGATCACCTGATTCATCTTGAAGAAGTCATGAGTAGATTGAATAGGGCTGGCCTTACCGTGAATCCTGACAAGGTTAGTTTTGCAAAGCCGGAAATTTCGTTCCTTGGTCATCTTATCTCTCATAGAGGCGTCTGCATCGACCCCGCTAGAACCCAGGCTATCAGGGAGTTTCCTCCTCCCAGAGATGTCAAGGGTATTGCTAGGTTCATCGGCATGGTAGGTTTTTACCGACGCTTCATACCCAATGTTGCTGAATTGGCGGCTCCTCTCAATGAGCTTCGGAAGAAGGGCGCCAAGTTTGTCTGGGGTGAAGCGCAGCAGACGTCTTTTGATCTTCTCAAGGAGGCTATCATGCAGCCCCCTGTTTTGGCAATGCCGGATTTCAATCAAAACTTTGTCTTGCAAACAGATGCTTCCTCCGTCGCAATTGCGGCTGTGTTGTCACAAGAGGTGGATGGTGTTAGGCAGCCAATTGCGTACGCCTCACGCACTTTGAGTCCCTGCGAAAAGAAAAGCTCTTCTGTGTATGAACTCGAGTGTTTGGCTGTCGTGTTTGGAGTCAATAAATTCAGACGCTTTTTGGAGCACAAGGAGTTTTTATTGGAAACCGACAACCAGGCACTCTCGTGGCTTCTTGCACATCCACGCCAGCTTGGGAAAATTGGTCGTTGGGTTGTCCAAATATCGTCCCTTAAGTTCCAGGTGCAACACGTTCGAGGCACTCAGAATGTGATTGCGGACACTCTATCTAGGATGTACCATTCACCCGACGATCCTCCTTCTGACCAAGAGCAACCGGGTTGTGCCGTGCTCTTGGAGTTTCCACTCGCCTTTTCTGATTTCATTCCCCATCAGCTGAAGGATCCTGAGCTGGCAAAGATCATTGGTGAGCTTCAAAATGGGGGAGCCCACCCCCCATATTTTCTGTCCCAGGGTGCCCTTTGCTGTCGCGCTCGGCAGCGAGGTAAACCTAAAGTTGTGCTGCCTAGTCTTCTAATCCCTATGGTCTTTGAGTATTTTCATTCGTCTCCTGTGGGTGGGCATCTAGGTATCCACAAGACCATTGCGAAGGTTAGGGAAATGTTCATCTGGAAGGGTATGGATCGGGATCTTGCTGCTAGGGTGCGTTCTTGTCAAACGTGCTCACTGAGCAAGCCCGCTCAAAACTCTAAGTTTGGTTTGTTGTCATCTGAGGTGGCGGAAAGACCTTTGGAGAAGGTTTTCATTGACTATGTAGGGCCTCTCCCGCGTAGCAAGTCAGGAAATAAGTTCCTACTTGTTTGTGTGGATGCCTTCTCCAAGTTTTGTTGGCTTTTCCCCTTAAGGAATGCCACTGCACAGCTCACCGTGCAGGTACTTCGAACTCACCTTTTCCAACATTTTGGAATACCCGCCACCATTGTTTCCGACAACGGAACACAGTTTGTTTCCCATCTGTTCAAAAGAATGTGCTTTGGGCACGGAATCCGCCATGTGACTACTTCCCCTTACTATCCACAGCCTTCTCATGCTGAAAGGTTCAATCGCAATCTTCGTTCCGCTCTCATAGCTTTCCATGCTGACAAGCAGACCACCTGGGATCAGGAACTCCCTTGGCTTCAGTTTGCTTTCAATACTGCTCACCATGAGAGTCACAAGGCGGTCCCTTTCGAGCTGTTTCTAGGCTATCCGCCTAACAACCCGTTAGCGAATGTGTGGGGAATTGGCGACCTTCTGCCACCTCCTGGTGCGGCTGATGTCAAGGCAACTTGGCAAGCGGCCAGGAGAAACTTGATCAGAGCTAGGGAATTGGTCCGGAGGAAGCACAATCGTGGTAGAGTAGACAACCCTTTCCAGGTGGGGGATTTGGTGTTTTGTAAAGCTCATCCAGCCAGTTCGGCTGTGGACAAGAGAGCTGCAAAGTTGTGTCATCGGTGGTCAGGTCCCCACCGCATCCTGAGGTTTTTGACGCCTGTCACGGCGGAGCTTGGAGATCCGCGGACTGGAAAAGTGTTCCGGAGGGCGCACATTTCTCATCTCAAGCCCTTCCGCGGAACTCTTCCGTAGGCAATTTTCCTTCCTCTTGTGTCTGGGTGGGAAGTGCACTGGGCCAGAGAACCTGATCACTTCTCCTGTCCCCTGTGTTCTGCGAAGGAATTTCCCTCACAAAATTTTCCAGCTCTGGCCAGAGCAAACCCTGGGGGTGAGTTTTCCCCTCAGTTTGGAAGTCCCTTGGCGTTCCCCACCACAGACACTTGAGTTGTCTTTCAGGTCAATCTCTTTTCAGGAAGTGGGGGAGAGGCTTGTTTGTTTGTCCCTTTTGGAGAGGAGTGTCCTCGTTTGGGGAGGGAGGTTGAGCCGTGACTATTTCCACCGGGCGAATGTCACGACTCATGATCAATGGTTCAAGTGTTTTTTTTTTTATAGTAGGCTAGTTCAGTGTTTCGTTGTCATTCCACGGCCCCCCGAACAAGGCTGTGGGTTTTGTTCTTATTACTCCGACCGCGAAGTGTCAGAGGTTGCGAGACGTCGGATTTGAGTACTTCACTGAAGATTTTTATCCTTTTAAATCTTCCTTTTTTGGATAATAAATGTGCCTTTTAAGTTTTATTCTTGGCCGTTTGTGAGAACTTTCTTTATGGAGTAACTTTAGTACGCCCCGCGCGCCTTTTGGGGCCCGTGAGGAGGAAAATGACTGACCATCTTCAGCGGAGAGGAATGTTGCGACTAGGCTGGCGCTGCATATTGGCCCCCTCTCCGCCCTGCCTTTTCTCTCCTCCGGTGCTGTCCGCCCAGCTTCATGGCCCTCCGGTGTCACACCCTTGAAGACTGTTACCGCAAGTTACCGACTAATTGTTATTTATCTAATTGTTATATATATTGCTGTTGCCGAATGGACTTTAAGATTTTTAACATTTGTTGACTATTTATAAGCACAGCAGCCTATTGTTATTTATTTCAAATTTTATTCTACTGTTGCCTAATCATCCGATTTTAAAATCTCTCCACTGTATTTAATTTTTGGGGCCCCTAGTTAATTGTTAACTTTTCAGATATTTATTAAAAGAGTCATCATATTTTATTATTGTTATAGTTTGTTAATTTTGGTAATTTCCTTTTATTAAATGTTAAATTTTTACTAAATCCTTCTGATTTTCTGAATGATTAAAATAAATTATTGTAAGTCAGCAGCTTAAACGGGTACCTAAATTTATTTAAGGTTTATTGAGAGTATTTAATTCATGTATTGTTGTTGTGTTTTCTTTTAAATGGTTAATTACAGCTCGTTTCTCTCAAATGGCGTGTTGTTCTTGAACCTCCATCCATGGTTCTCATTTTGTTAAGTAAAGTTTTGTGAGCCGCTCCTCGGGCCTGCGCATGGATCACGCTTCCATTTCGTTAGTCTGGGTGCAGGCACGAGGGCATGGTTCTGAACCATCATAAAAAACTACCAGCGTTTTGCTCTCTTGAGATCTGTATTGGCTTTGGCCACATCTTGAATCGTTTTTCTTCATGAGATGTTGGTTCATGTATTACTTATACTTCCAATCAAATCAATTGCTGGCACTCATTTGACATATGATTTAAAGAGGCAGTTTACATTTTAATTTGAATTCAAATAAGTGAATTGGAACAAATACATTTAAAATTGGCTGATCACACAAACCATTTGACCTTTCTTGTGAAATGTAAGCGTGACAAAGGACTCGTTTGGTTACCCTACACCTTTATATACTATAGTGTTTTGTGATTGGTTATTAATTGCATCATGTATAATAACTTGACTGCTACTCTCTGTAGTGTATTTTAACTTAGGTTGTGTGTGTATGTATTGCTAGTTGTAATGAATGTGTTAGTTAAGTTTTGTTTCAACTGAGGACGGGATCGGATTTCAGATCCCGAAACGTTGGGTATTGATTTTTTTTACCATTGTGATGGAAAATGTCCCCAATAAACCCATGAACAACATTAACTCACCATCACCAACAATGAACTTCAAACTACCATTGACCATATAATACACTTAAAAGTTTATTACTGAACAATGAATGAGATAAACACGATTGTTCAGAAACGTAGAGTCGTTTATCAATAAATATTATAGCCTACACTAGTATGAAACTAAAATACTTGAGGAAAGCCTTAGACTTTTTGTAGTTACATTATTTACAAAGTGACGTCGACGCGGGTGCGTTGGTCCACTACTCGACAAGCCCTTTGTTGCGACGTTCCTCGATCCCTGCGACTAACGATTCATTATGCTGCTACTCAATACAGTAATGCTGGTCAGAAGCTTTAAATTATGAGATTGTTGTGGAGCTTCGTTGTTGATGTTTCCAATATAGATTGCTCGTTCATATGAAACTTTTTTTATATTAAGAATGAAATAAAGAAGAGGGGTTGCCCACTGAGAGAAATTGGATTTACAACTTCATCAAACGGAGCAAAACTAAAAATTAAAATTATTCACTGGTGGAAAGAACTTAAATTTTAATATGTTTACGAGTTCAACATTTGTATTTTTTTAACATTTTGTTTTATTTAGACTAAATAATGTGGTTAGGAGTCCTTTTGAGGCCACCTTGATTAATTTCAAACAGCTGCTGCACATTATTTAACGTCCAAAAATATTTTTTCAAACACCAAAGTAATATAATTGAAATATCTAGTAAACTGTGGGATTATAAATGTTCCTTATAGTTTGAAATTGTTCTCCAAGGGAGTCCATGGAAGCTAACGGCCATCTTGAGTTTCCCGTTATATGAGTAATGTTAATTTCGTTAATTTCAAAAAGCTGCTGAAGAGTTATTTTCCATCTCAAAATATACTTTTTTTAACTCCAGAGTAATTGTAATTTAAATATATAGTAAACTGCGTGATTAGAACTTTTTTGTTGTTGTTTTGTATTTGTTTTACGAGTTAGAACGTAGAGGCTATATCTTTTTAAAACAACCTAATAATTGACATGTCAATGTTTGTTAAGAGTTTTTTTTTTATCTATCTTGGCTAGTAAATCAACTCCAGTCACCATGTAATATGGTTGACAAGCCAGTTTTTGCCGAGCTAGATGTGTAACATGCAGCCCACGTACACAGGTAGAGATAATAGCAGTAACATGATAGGGGCGAGTGTCACCTCGTGGCCGGTCTTAAACATCCTCTTCATATATTCCGCTCGTGTCCAGGCTACCTGCACAATTTTTAAACGAGTACAGAAGATAATGCGTGGTGTTTTGTGTGTTCATATTCGCAAGAAAATGTTAACTACTCAGTTATCAACGGTTGGGTTCAGTTATCAACTGAACGAAGAAAGTTACATGCAAGTATATGAACAGGTAAAAATGGTCAGAATGATTTGATAGTTATTTTTTCATGAAACAAGAGAATGTATCGTTTAAAGAGCACACGGATATAATATTTAATAACAAGGCTGACCCACTTAAGTCGTAATAATTTCAATTAAGGATTGATAATATTGACTATACAATAAAAATCCCTCTTATATTAAATCTTAAATAGTTTAGAGATTTTATATTCCAAATCTTTTACTTTCAAAGTGCTTAAGATGTCAATGATGTCCGAAGAGAATTTGGGCCAACTACAAGTAAAAGTTGAGACTGTGTGGCTTAAAAGTGCTGTGGGTTTAGAACCAAATTCTGTAAATAGTTACTTTGGTCTTAGGATGGCTTTCTTGTAATGCCTTACAGTTGGATTAAAGCGTCTTAGAATATTAGAACAGTAACAATTCTTCACAGAAAGTATGAAGATGATACCACAAAGAGTAACATTCATTACCCTTATACATAGCAACAGTGTTTAGAATTCTTATTTACGCTAAAACAACCAACGAAATTAAGACTATTCTAGTGTATTTAAAAACGTATTTTAGAAAGCTAAACCTTTGGGCAGATATTAACTAACCAAAGATATTGCATCAGTGCTAAAAATATGTTATTTAAAAAACTCCAAGCGTCAAAACTCACTTTTACTCTAAAGAAACATTTCACTCTCTAACGAGATGCTGCTAAATGAGAAGCAGCTGTGTTTCGCAATGCCAAATGACTCCTTTAGGAGGAAGAACAAGAAATACTCGAGTCATCAGCGACATCTGGTATCGAGCACCAGAAATGGCTCATCGCAGTCAAGTGATGTTGTAGTACAAAGGACAAGCTATATCAAGGGGGAAATCATTTGTGTTAGACATGCTTAAGACATTTAAATTTTTTAATTGGGTTCATCAAAACCTATCGGTTTATTTATTGGCATCATTCGCTTCCAAATTCAGCATATTAACTAATAAATTGACTAATCTTGTTTTTGCCATATTGATGTTAAAGGTAATTTACTGGGGGCGTACTGTATTAGTACCTATGGGAAGTGTCATTTTGTATTACATAAGATTACTACAGGAAATAATTGAGATGTGTAAATAAAATGTTAAATATTTATATTTTATTTAAACCCATTAATAGTTCCATCAGAGTTATAGAGTTGTTAATAGTTTTTAATTTAAGGATTGTTTGGTATGATGTGGGAATGTTTAATAATCAAAAGAAAGCTTACCCTGCCTTCGCCATCTCAAGCTCGTTATGAAAAAAAAAGCTTAAGCAAAAACACATACTAAATAAGCTATTCATTTATTCCCCCCACACTACTTTTAGCTAAAAAAAAGAGCAAATACTAGAAGATTGCTGATAATACCATTGCAAACTCAAAGCACGAGTTTAACTGCAATAAGCATTTTATACTTATACGTCAACCCCGTACGAAGAACACTCTGCTAGTATAATATGAAAATATGTAAAGTCAATGAGGCCATACATCATTCTCATTTTGTTTAAACGCAGCACAGCTGTTAGTAGCCTACGATAGGCATATTTGATTGTTAGGTTCTATTGAAGAGTGTTGATTTCAGAAACAATTGACAAATACAGGATTGAGTTGTTTAAGTTATCAGCAAACTTCTAGTATTTGCTCTCTTTGTTTAGCTGAAAGTAGTGTGGGGGGGGGGGCAAATGAATTGGTTATAGGTGGTAGGGGGGTTTATTTAGTTTCTGTTTTGTGCTTAAGTTTTTTTTTATCATAACGACCTTGAGATGGCGAAGGTGGAGTAAGATTTTTTTGATTATTAAATATTCCCACATTATACCGAACAATTCTTAAATTAAAAACTAGTCGATATTTTAATAAAGCATATTTAGGTACCGGGTAGTCGTCGGGGGGTTTCGGCTCCTTCGACAAAAGAATAATAAATAAAATAAATAAAAATAAAGCATATTACAGCTACACTATGGCTGTTCTAATATCGTACTAATATTATACTGATGACGCTAAAAGAGGTCGCATGTAGGTCAAATTAACTATAATTTCCCTTGGGTTAAGAAAGAACCAATTTCAACCACCGGCTTATCCTTTTTATTTTCAAAGTGATCTCCTTTGGGACTATCCATTCGGCTCAACACGTCTCTAGATAGAACTTTTGAATCGACAAAAATAAATTTAATTCCTTCGAGTAATAATTGGGTAAACAATCATTAATTTGATTATTTAATATTTTGTTTTTAGGTACCTCGGCAAAGTGAATCTCGTAATTATCTGGATGTTCATGAGAATTAGGACTAACAACAGTTATTAGCTCTTAAGAGATAATAATACAAAACAGAAGCATTGGCTAACAGCTATATTCAAAATTAGGATTTCTCTCTCTTATCACCAAGCACTTTTTCGATGGTCAAACATTATATCAATTTTCATCTCAATTGTATTATAATGAAAAAAGCATACTTTTAAGATAATTTTACTTTTTGCAACTTTTCCTCAAAGTATAAT